TCCATATTATATTCCCTATTAATCAAATTCTAAAAGTATGCTTGTTTACTCCGGTATCGAGCGTATTCGCAAAAAAGCTTAAAACTACCACTTTTTATACACGTTATTTCACATGTTAGTTAAAGACTTTGATGCTTAAAATGTTTAGTGAGAAATGGAATACTGATGTGTATTTTTTCTTTAAAGTACTGAGACCAGCCATATACAGTTTACATACTGAAATACTGTATGTTTATGTTCCAAAATTAATATCGTTTATGGTCTTCACACGTGTTATGCTCCTATTCTTTTTATGCTCAGCTACTAAGATTTCCCTTCAGTGGTAAAATTCCATATAAATATTCAATAATTAAACGGGCACAGTAAAGACATTAAATATACATATTCATACTGTATACAGTACAGTTTTGCATACAGTAATATGTTTATGTTCCTAAATCAATATCTTTTATGAGCATGTGAAAGGCATGGTGAATCGGAGGGTCTCAAAAATTACTGTACTTTGCATGATTGGAAACAAATGCGTGATTGGATCATCGAAATGCTGTGGTGTTACTTTTACAAAGATGGTCAATGAAAAAAAAGAATGTGGACCAGGGCAATACTTTGAGTTTACAGCTTGTCCAAGGTCATTCATTATTAATACTATTAGTAATATCTTCGGTAAAGACTTTGATGGCGACAGCTCAAACATGAGAGGTTGAGCTTTATTAGCTACACCTTGCGGAAATTCCGGATACTATTATTTTACTTGCGGTATCATGCAGTATCATGCAGTACTATGTGAGATTATATGGTATTAATACCGTTACTTGCGGTACACCACGTCAAGCGCACCGCAAAATAATGTGGTATCGCCTGCTTGTTTTGAATTGCTGCATCTGTAAATTACTTATTTATGACAACATTTCATAGACATTATGCCCCTGTTATTTTTATGGTCAGCTACCAAAATTTAGTTGTAAAACCCCATATTAATGTTCCATATTAAGCAGATTTAAGCATGCACTATAGAGAGATTAAATGCAGCAATCATTTCACTAACACCTAATGTATCACAAGTGCCCCCTGTTGCCAGCAAATCACATGCTGCGGTAAAGTGCAGCTCCGGTTATGGGGTTTTAACTGCATTCTGAATGGCTAAATCTTTACGGGTTTGTGTGTGGTCAGGTTAAGGGTCTGATCATGTAAAGGTAGTGATCACATAAAGCTTATTGCTATACACTAGCCTGTAGTGAAAGAAAGCTGGATGTCTGAATCTGAGTCACTGATCGGGTGCTAAGTAAAATATGGGTACCATGCTGACCATACCAGTGATAAGCAGTTGTGCCATTACAAAGTACTATATTTAGAAGATGAAAAGAAGAAGAATTCTAGAACCTTAAGGGCAGGGTTTGTGAAAGCACCAGGATGGTGGAATATGATGGCGGGGTATTTAACAACAGAATTTAGAAATGTCTTTATTAATTAATGCCCCTTATCTGAAAACAAAATTTTGCTGGTACCACTATTACTTCAATTGTAAAGTACAGAGGGTGAGGGCTAATCTAATTGTATAGCAGCTCAAACAGAGTGGAGACCATATGTATAGGCAACACTGGAATTTCCTTGGAGGAAAATAGAAGGAAACCATAGCAAGAAATGCAAAAGAAAGAAGTCAGTGAGCTACAGCATTACAAGCAGACCTTGGACATTGACACTTGGGATCCCTCATTGATGATTCAGATATTTCAGGTATTTGGGCACAAAAAGGAAGTTTTATATTTGTAGAAAAATGTAAGTTGCAATGATCCCGCTATTCAGTGGGACTATTAGCGGATCTAGAGTAGTATGGGACAACCCAATTACTGAAAGAGAGGCAGCTGAGACCCAGCAGAGCTTCAGGCACTGACCAATAAAGCATTTTAAAAAAAAAACAAGACGATCGACAACAAAGTCACTTTTTATCTGATGATGCACTTCCAAACAAAAAAAGCCAGCAAAAGCAAAAACCAGCAAAAAATATATATACCATGTTTTTACATTATTCTGAAGCTTGATATATATCCACAGAAACCTAGACTAGCTTATCTCCAGACCTGAAGGCTATTGAACGTTATTGACTTTATAGTAAATGTTTGAAGCAGGACTGCCAGAAATAAGGCGATCTGATTGGTAAAAAGCACTGTCATTCATTGTATTTTCAGCTATTCAGAGCCCTTGGGGGGTAAGACTTCCTCTAGAAGCCTCAGGCTGCATTCCGCCTGCCTTTTAGCTGTCAATCATTGACTCAGAAGGGGTAATCAATTGGTTTTTTAACAGTTTCTTACCAGTGCTCCTTTTTTCACACCAGAAGGCAACTCTGAGGTTTTTTTCATGGCATAACAGCAGATAAAGACTCCCTAGCAGATTAAGACTCAATTTGTCCCAGATTTTTATCCAAGCTAGTAGTCACCTAGAACAAGGTTTTCAAATCCTTCCCAGGACATTTCCAGGCCTAGAATTGAAAATTCTGACCTCTGAAGACCAAAACAACATTTCCGCCTGCTGTTTTTTTCATATGTTTGTCTGCTGAGTGGACACATTAGGAAATATAAGACATTTGACTGTTCACACTCAAAGCCAATTGAGTTAGCTTCAATTTCAGACCTGAACCAGGCTCCTGCTATGTTCTGCAGTAGAGATATAACAATGTTTAAGGGGTGGAAATTCCAAGCGGACATGGGCTAAATGGGTCTAAGAGACTCATTATAGGATGATAAATCATTTTATGAACCTTCTTATCAACCTTCCACTTCTGAGGAGGTTGAAATAAAAAGTATCCCTCTAGGAGCTTTCCCCTGAACAATTCTGGGGGTCCAGGGGAACTTTCATGTTTCTTCATGAAATGTTTTTGAGCTGAACATACAAATACTTGAAACAAACTATTCGAACCAAGTCGACATTCCTATCAATTTTTAACTCTGATTCTGTGTTGGTCAATGTTAGTATTTTAGAGTGGAAGGTCAGAAGTAATGTATCTGTATGTAGCTCTCTGTAAGTTTTGTGTAATACAGTACATCTTGCCTGCTCATATTTCTGGGCCAACAAATGGTTCACAGAAAATCAATGTGACCTCAGTACTCCCTGATCTCCATGATTTCATTTATAATATGCTTGCACTGAAGCAGCGATCAGGATGAACTAACATTAAACATTTACTAAACCTCTCTTTGTTATCTCCTACTACACCCTTAATAAAACATTAAACTCATTCCAGATTTCTGCATTTTATGCTTAGATAAATACGTAAAACCAAAATAACGGCTCAATACTATTTCTTTCAGACCAATCCCAGAAAGAAGGTAGTATGGGAGCATGAGAAGCAATTTTTGCAAACCAAAGAGTTGATAATAGTAATGTTCACAATTTGTAATGTTGCTTCAGGGATATTAATATAATTTATCACTATGATAACACCCATAAATGTATTCAATACAGCTAATGAAACATTTCATGATATATAATACTTATTGAGAACACAAAATAATATCTTCCGTAAGAATTACAAGATATAAACCTATAGAGCATACTTTTAGAAAAGGGGAGTCATCTTACCTATAGACGCTTTTCCTCCCAGACTGACTTCAAGGAAAGGGTCTTTAATCTGAAATGCAGGTGGCTGGTGATGATGTGACAGCAGGTAAATAGCTAAATCCATTTCAGGAGAAGTGTGCTCGCCATCCGACACTGAAACAGCGTTATACAGGAATTAACACAAACCACCACAATCTGACATTCTTTAATTTAATGAAAGCACAGTATTGATGTCTTATGGACAGTTAGAACAGAATTATTGGTAATATTGTCATATGAGTAATAAATCAGAAAAAATCTTTTAAGAAGACAATAATTTAAGAAGACAAGAAGTTAAAAAAACAGAACCTTCTTTGAACACATAAAGGCAATTTGAAAACTTATTTAATTTACAAAAAAAGGTCTGTTTAGTTTAACATCTCTATGATCAGTAGAACCCTATTAAAATGTACACATACTAGAGTGCTTACCAGGCATGTATGGATAAATTTGAGCAAGACACACTGTTCATAATATAGTTTTGCGAATCTTTTAATCCACAGACCACTGTGAAAAACCTTCTGTCTCAGTCAAGTTCCCAATTGGTAAAACTCATCACTAATACAAAAACACAATTATCAACAAATAACTGATTTATTGACAAGATTGAGCAAAAGAACAGGCTTCCAGGTTCAAAATCTACCCAACCAAGAATCATAATGATGGGGTATATACACGATATATAAGATATATGATATACATTTGTTAAATGTAACACTGTGGAAGAAGTCTTTCGTGGACACCAAATGCTTCTTATTCAAAGCAAACACCTAGTGAAACTGCATTGACAGAACCATGTAAGTCCTTCAGTCAAAACCTGAACAGTTTTCTTGACCCAAACCCAAGTAGTTATCTTGGTGTAAATCCCAAGAGAAAATGTGATTTTCACTTCAATCCTTATGAAATTCTAATGAAGGCCTTACTTTACAAGCAATCCATATACAAATGCAGCCATTCAAAATCCATGGTACAACCCTGCACCACGCAAAATTATCTAGAGTTCACTGTGTCATACCGCAGTACGTGATTGGCTAGCCAAAATGACCGTCAGGGTCACTCATGGTGCACTGGTTATTATTGAAATTATTTAAACATTTAATCTCTTTACTGTGCATGTTTTAATCTGCTCACTATTGAATATTTATTTGGAATTTTATAACTAAAGGGAAATTTTGGTAGCTGAGCATAAAAATAAGAGGAGCATAACACGTCTGAAGGTCGTAAACGATATTAATTTAGGAACATAAACATATTATGTAAACTGTATATGGCTAGTATTGGTAGTTTAAATAAAACATGCACACCAGTATTCCACTTTCTTCCTAAACATTTGAAGCATCAAAGTCTTTCATTCGGTTACATACTGTTGTTATTTTGGAAAAGTTTTTATTTGCTCCTTCTGACTACATTAAGTTTATATACTTTATAAAAATTTATAATGTTTCATCGTTTATTATCGCAGTAAAAAAATGCATAGTTTTTAGAATTTGATTAATAGGGAATATAATATTGAATCGCGTATCTAAATAAATTAATAACAATATAATTATATTCATATAGCTCAAATTATCACAGTAGTATACTTTCTTTGTAAATGTCTGCATCAATTTAACTCATTACAATGTGATTACTTGTGTGGTGTAAAGGCTTAGGGGGTGTGCCTTGCATGTGGGAGGATGGGGGTTCAAATCCAGCTGTCACCATAAGATTTCTTTTAACAAATAAACATTTAATTGAAAAAGTAAAATAGCAAATATTATGGACACTATTGACCATATATTGACATTTTTGATATTTCTAAATATCACAACATGTTCGAAGCTAAGTGATTTATTAATAACAATGAATAATTTCAAACTGCTACTGTACTGCCACTACAGTATAGCTTGTGGGAAATACATTTATTTGTCCTTTATCAAAATGTAACTTGTTTGAAACGCCCTACATTACAAACTTCAACCATTTCATTTTGTCTATTGCTACAATATCGACAGCAATGTAATTAATAGGATGTCAAAATGTTTCCAAAATAACCACAAGTGAACGAGTTGTGGGATTTAATAATAATAGAGAAATCATAAAAATGACCCTGTGTTGCTAATCATCCATACCCAACTGTACCGTAATCTGTAAACATGTTTTATTTTTAATTTGACTCATTCACGCATGATGAATTGTGAGGGAGTGCACGCGGTCATTTTTTTCACTGAAAAAGTTTACACAAACTCTGCCTAACAGAGCTGCTTGTAAAAGCAAGGTGACTTTCTTTTATGTAAACCATTTTTTACAGATTTTGAAGTCACGTAATGTTTAAATTAGGCAGGAACACGTAATTGTATATTATTTAATTTTTAAAAATAAATATAAGGCAACCAGCAATCAAATGTCCTGTTTTTTCTTAATACTCTTTTTTTCATACTATAGTTTGAGTCTTTGTGTAAGCAGTAAGTTCTTTTTACTTCTTAATTAAACATTTGAAAGACTTTAATTTTCTAAACGCAACATGCATTCTGTACAGAAATGAAATAATGTTTTCTACAGGTGTTAAACAGATTAGCAGGTTGCTGACAAAATAGTGCACTGCCCACTAACAGTCCACCACTGCACAGTGATATTTTAATATCACTTTAATATCTTTAATATAAACAAGATCTAGTACCTGGTGCAGTTTAAAAAAAAATGTTTTGAATTCATCGAATCCCATGTGTGAGTACATAAAGCCAGAATTACGTACTATTTCTACGTCTGCAAAACCCCTGATCATCTACTATAAAACTTTTAGTGCTTAGTTTGTGTATATTCCAGTCGCAGTGAGGGCAGGGTGTGTGGGGATTGGTTTAGGCTGCAATTGAATTTAATTTCATTCTTCACACCTGAAACATTGTTTTCTTTGAAAGCTTTTTCTTGCCTCTTAAGCTGATCTTTTGCAGCCTATGCATGCTTACACAGCTCCCTACATGAATTCTCATTCTTGACTGAGAAAGCTTTAGAGAACTTTACATTTTTATGTTCAACAAATTGTAAATAAAAATAATTAATAATAATTGCTTACACTTATATAGCGCTTTTCTGGACACTCCACTCAAAGTGCTTTACAGGTAATGGGGACTCCCCTCCACCACCACCAATGTGCAGCATCCACCTGAATGATTCGACGGCAGCCATAGTGGGCCAGAACGCTCACCACACATCAGCTATTAGTGGGGAGGGGAGCAGAGAGTAATGAAGCCAATTAATAAATGGGGATTATTAGGAGGCCATGATTGGTAAGGGCCAATGGGAAATTTGGCCAGGACGCCGGGGTTAAACCCTTACTCTTTTCGAGAAACGCCCTGAGATTTTTAATGACCACAGAGAGTCAGGACCTCGGTTTTACGTCTCATCCGAAGGACGGCACCTGTTTACAGTATAGTGTCCCCATCACTATACTGGGGCATTAGGACCCACGTGGACCACAGGGTGAGCGTCCCCTGCTGGCCCCACTAACACTTCTTCCAGCAGCAACCTTAGTTTTTCCCAGGAGGTCTCCCATCCAGGTACTGACCAGGCTCACACCTGCATGCTTCACTGGGTTGCCAGTTGTGAGTTGCAGGGTGATATGATAATCCCGCCCCTTATGCAAAACCAAACCCTCCTCCCATCCCAGTTTATCCTCTTTATCATAAACAAAATCCACCCCAATTTTCAACATAAAGCATTACACAAAATCAATACCTCAACACTCCATACTCAACAACGATAATTCACAAACAGCCAGAACATGTAACTCCACATTCCCAAATAGACCTCATTTCAATAGCCCTGCCCCTTATGCAAAACCAACACCCCTCCCCTGTTCTCTCTCTCCGCTGGTGTTTGTATTCGTTTTTATTTTTAAATAAATTTGAGCAAAGTCATATATTTTTAAAATCTTAAGATTTCTATATTTATGTCTTTATTTAGTGGTTTCATTAGTGACAAAGGCTAAACTTTCTTGGAAAAATGTATTTTATGTAAACCATGTCTGCTATTAATTTTTTTAGGGCTTGAATATGTTCATTGTCTTCCAGTGAAAGAAGGGTTCCTTTCGCCGTAGTCGGGTTGACATTAGAATCTTGCCACGCCTGGACTGTTACACCAACGCGTTAGCATGTTAAAGCGATTTCATTGAGGAGCCTAGCTTTCTTAACTAGTAAGTACTGTACTTACTTGGTTTTGGAGGGGGGAGGTGTCTTTCGCTGGAAATCTCGCCCCCTTCTACTTTGAAACTGGTTTAATTCATCACAGCCAGCACTCCCGCAGAGAGGGGGGTTGTACTTGCAGTGTATACAGTATACAGTATACAGTAGATGGGAAAGCCAGAGCCAACCACTACGCCACCCACGTGTTATGCTCTTCGTTAATGTCTAAGCCGGAACACATCATTATATCTCATTTTGTATTTCTTTAAAAAAAAAATCGTTTGCCCAGCCTATCAGTATTGTTGTTATTGTTTTTATCCTGTAAACCGCTTTGAGGAGCCACCTTTAAAGGCGCCATATACAATAAAGTTCATTATTATTACTATTGTTAATTTGCTGGACAGAGAGGTAAACATTATTACGCAGAAGACAAAGATAGCGATTTACGTTGCATTGTGCATTGTGCTGCTGTAATACAGTTTTAAATAATTAAAAGTCTAAACAGTATCAGCTTCATTTATGGGTTTTAAATAAAGGCGATTTAAATCAATATAAATGTTTATATTGTAATGCATAGGTGACTATATCATTAAAATGACTTAAATTCGATCATGTTGTGATATTTAGAAATATACATTTGTTTGGTGCGAGTGAAGTTTTATTTAATCTCTGAGCCAGGGAAACGTTTTATTTTTTCAAAGAAATGTTTGTTAAAAAAAGAAGTCATGGCTCCAGCAGGATTCAAACACCCAGCGTGTGAGATGGTAGTCGGGAACCTAACCCACAGCGCCACCGGCGAGGTCGCATGAGGAGTGCTGAAAAAACCCTACAAAACATTATCAACAGACATCTTACAGCGTGTACAATTATTGTGTTGCGGTACATGAATATAATTATATCGTTATTAATTTCATTAGATATGTGATTCCATATTATATCCCTTTTAATCAAATTCTAAAAGTATGCTTGTTGACTCCGGTATCACGTTAGTTAAAGACTTCGATGCTTAAAATGTTTAGTGAGAAATGGAATACTGGTGTGTATGTTTTCTTTAAAGTACCGAGACTGGCCATATACTGTATGTTTATGTTCCAAAATTAATATCGTTTATGGTCTTCACATGCGTTACAGTATGCTCCTATTCTTTTTATGCTCAGCTACTAAGATTTCCCTTCAGTGGTAAAATTCCATATAAATATTCAATACTTAAACGGGCAGAGTAAAGACATTAAATATACATAAACATACTGTATACAATACAGTTTGCATACAGTAATATGTTTATGTTCCTAAATCAATCTCTTTTATGAGCATGTGAAAGGCATGGTGAATCGAAGATTCTCAAAAATTACTGTACTTTGCATGATTGGAAACAAATGCGTGATTGCGAAATGCTGTGGTGTTACTTTTACAAAGATGGTCAATGAAAAAAAGAATGTGGACCAGGGCAATACTTTGAGTTTACAGCTTGTCCAAGGTCATTCATTATAAATACTATTAGTAATATCTTCGTTAAAGAGTTTGATGGCGACAGCTCAAACGTGAGAGGTTGAGCTTTATTAGCTCCACCTTGCGGAAATTCCGGATATTATTTTACTTGCGGTACTATAGGAGAATTTAAAGTAACTTGCGGTAGACTGCGTAAAGCGCACTGCAAAATAATGCGGTATCGCCCGCTTGTTTTGAATGGCTGCATCTGTAGATGTCCTTATTATTCTGTTGTGGAGAATATTTAAAAACAACTAACTTGCTGAGTACACAGTGTTAGTTTTGTATTGAGAACTTTTAATTGTTTTGGAAATAGATTTATTGGGTAGTTATGAGAATTGATCAGAGATGGTATACCTGTGAAATGGAAGTTCACTGACTCAGGTAGACCTGCAGGAATAAAACATGTTTACCAAAAGTGAGCAAAGTTACAGCCACTTAACACATGCAAGCAACATTCTGTTGATTTACTGTCTTCATTTACTTAGTTATTCAATGTTTGTTAACATTGATGTTGTTTTTAAAACACACCAAATCCATACACAGGCAATTGACAGTGTAGCTATGTGGTAATTTATTTATCTTTTTATAACCTTTTATTAGTGAGCTTATAAATGTTTTATACAGAAATCAAATAAAATACAGCTAATACACAGTACATTTTCTGTATGAATCAGTCATAGACAGATGTATACGTTTAATATTCCAAGAAGTGCTAGTATGGCATAAGACTGTATACTGACAAAGTACCAGCACTATGCTGTATTTGTATTTAAAGACCTTATGTTTTCATTTGTAAAAATAAGAGAAATAAGAAGGCCCTCACCAGAGAAGGAATAAAGGGAGAATTCTCGCAGATGAGATGGGGCCATAGGTGGCCGGTACAGGATCTTGCCTTGGTTGATGTCAGCCTGTGTAAAGAACTGTACTGGGATGTAGGGTCTGTCTTGGTGTTCTATAGTACCTAAATGGAATGTGACAGCAATAAAACATCAACCTCTTTTGTAATCTTTACTATTGTTTAGATGAATCATATTAATGTGAAATCAATGTGTAAATTGTGCTAGTAATCTTAAAGTAATGATTTAAGAAAGATACAATACTAAAGTATTTAACGTACAAGAACCTAATGCTGATTTATCAAGCCACACACAATTAAATTCCCCAACTTATAGCTAATATATTGGGCTGCAAACACAATCAGACTTCAATCTCTTTAAAAGATTTACTGGAGAAATCTCAATAAAGTTCTTGAATCAAATGTACACAGCAGGGTCCTACTTGAAATGCGGAATTATGACCCTCTGAGAATGAGTAGTTATTCTGGGGATTTTAGTCAAAAAGAATCACCATCATCACTCACTCTTCCACATTCATAATTCCTATAAAAAATATCAAAATAGTATACACTGTACTGCACTGCTTTTTTCCTATTTTTTTTAGTCAGAAAGTATGCTCATACTTGTAAGTTACTACTATGTGCTCATTATCTCTTGCATGTTTTCCGGAAGCCTCCTATTCATTGATCTGCATGATGGAGCTGTGCTTATACCTTCTCCCTGTGCCAGTGGTTTAGTGATATTGTAAATGAATTTTTCACTGGGGGTCCCTGTATCCACAAAGGAGAGTGCAGAGGGCCCTAAAACTGTCACGTGATCTTCAAAAGCCTAGATGAAAAAAAAAACGAAGAAAGATTTTAACAGACTTTAGATACGTCAGACTATAACCACATGCAAAAAAAACATACCATGCTATTAAATTACACAAAAATAAGTTGGTGTACAAATTTAATGCTGTAATATAATACTTTCTAATAAAGACAAGTAATACGGATAATATTAAACTTTTAGCAAATATGTTTAGCTCTACTGACTTATGCAGATATCATGCTGCAAACTAAGCTTTAACATGTTCTATTGTAGAGGGTAGTACTTTAGTTGTACATATTATTTACAGATCAGACAAGTCTTTTCTTACTGTTATCTGTAGAGCAGAACCTGGATCGAGCTGAGGAAACTGTGAAGAATGGGGCATTACCCTGATCCTTAAAGTCTGAGTTTTGTTGAGTGCTTGTGTGGATCCCCCTCTTGATATCTGGTACAGCAGAACAGTATTAATTTTCTGGTAGTAGTCTCTATTTGTGCTATCATGATCATGACAAATAAGTTTAGAATAACTATCTATACCTTTAAATAATGTCATAGGTTTCATAGAAGAGGAAAATAATTGGACTTTTAAACCCACAAGCTAAAATATTGTAATTGAAGCCTAACTGTAACTTTGAACTATAATATAGAAGATATTTAAACAGGAAAAACAAGAGATTAACTGCCATTTAGATCATGACAATGCACTGGCTATTATTATCAAAGACATCAATATGAAAATGAACATTTCTTGTACACCAGTGGCTAGATAAAGTGCTGAAAAGTTTACAAAAAAAGGCTATTGCTTTTATATGAAAATTTAAGCCAGCAAAAGCTTTTGTTTCAGTGAATCCACCATCTCCTGTATAACAAGTATTATTATTCATTAATAATTCAAAATATTAATAGCAGACTGAGTATATACCGTAATAATATTTGCCAATACTTTTCCATTAAATTATTTTAGCACTGCTATGCTGATTAACATCTCTGGGTCCCTTGATGAAAATATGAAGCCAGCAAATGACAGAGCAGATTTAGTAAGAGATGAATGTAGATCCCTCAACCCTTAAAATTAGGTTTAAAATGCAATTACTGTAAGTAATTATTCTTTAACTAAACCTAGTTTTACTCTAAAATTATTAGAACCTGTTTGTAAATCAAAAACAATTTGAAACAAATCACTCTGAGTTGTACAAATAACTTATTTATTATAATGCAACATCTTGAGATTTCAGTTCGAAGGTGCATGCAGAAGTTTTTTAAAGTCAGATATGTACATGTTGTAATGTCTACTTGAAGAAAGATATAAGATGTAAAAAGGGGGTTAACTGACTTCTTTCTGCACAAAGACTTCTTGTGGCACAAGACATTTAATGCTTAGGCACCTTTTGAGTTATGGCTGGGATGGAATTTAATCTATATGAAATTCCAAGTGCAAGATAGAGTCTCCCTAACTAAGAAAAGATAAAACCGACCATTAAAAGTGTTGGGAATGTCCAAACACAGGTGCCCCCTTGATTACCATGGTAACAAGTTGCATCAGAAGCGGCTGAAATTTGCTATATAAACTGAAAGTTTTGTACCTACAGATGCAGCCATTCAAAATGAGTGGGTTATACCATGTTAAAACGCGGTGGGAGTGTCGCGGTATAACACAGGTTACCGTATAATACCGCAAGAAAGATAATAGTATCGGAATTACCGCCAGGTGGAGCTAATAAAGCTCAACCTCTCATGTACAGCATTTGAGCTGTTGCCATCAAAGTCTTTCCCGAAGATATTACTAATAGTATTAATAATGAATGACCTTGGACAAGCTGTAAACTCAAAGTATTACCCTGGTCCACATTCTTTGTAACCGTCTTTGTACACGAAAATATTTTATTTTTTCATTGACCATCTTTGTAAATGAAAAGACTTTATTTTTTTATTGACAAAAAGTAACACCACAGCATTTCGTTGATCCAATCATGCATTTGTTTCCAATCATACAAAGTACTTCTTTCAAATCTCCAATTCACCATGCCTTTCACATGCTCATAAAATATATTGAGGAACATAAACATATTACTGTATGTAAACTGTACTGTATATGGCTGGTCTTCCTATTTTAAAGAAAAAATACACACCAGTATTCCATTTCTCCCTAAACATTTTAAGCATCAAAGTCTTACATGTGGTTATTTCGGAAACGTTTTTACGTGCTCCTTGCTCCTTCTGACCATGTCACTGGACGTTTATACAGTATACAGTACTTTGTGAGAAAAGTGATAGTTTTAAGCTTTTCTGCGAATACGCTCGATACCGGAGTAAACAAGCATACTTTTTAGAATTAATAGGGAATATAATATGGAATCGCGTATCTAAAAAACTTAATAACGATATAATTATATCCATGTACTGGAACACAAACAGTAGTATATACACATACAGTATCTATTGATATGTGTACAGCTGTTTCACCACTTGTCATGTGTCAAGCGAGAGGTCAGCTGTTCAAATCCACCTAGCGCCACAAGTTTTCTTTTAACAAACATTTCTTCGAAAAACTAAAATAGCAATATTATGGACAATTAATTGACTTTTTTATATTTCTAAATATCACAATATGTTCAAATCTAAGTCATTTTTTAATAACAATGAATAGTCACCGTCTTTCCCTCTGAATCGTTCCAGTAGCAGGAACCAGTTTTTACCCTCGCACTATCAAACTATTAAACTCCCAGCCTCTCTCACTCTCACCTCATCTTTCACCTATGATCTGAACCTCACAGTGCCTTCTTTCTTACCAAAAACCCAAACACACACTGAAAATCTATCTCTACCATACATGTCAAAAGCTCATCATTTCTATCCCTTTATTTAATTCTGTTGATGCATGTTTTTGCACATAACCTGTTCCCTTTTTATTGTTTTGCACATTGCCTTTTGTTGTTTTTTTCTTTGTACTACTTATGTCCGAGAGCTAGCTAAATAGCATTTCGTTATACCATATACCTGTATATGACTATAATGACAATAAACTTGAACTAGAACTTGAACTCTATCGTGTGGATCCCTTTAGATCTCCCCTCAGATTTAAAAGGTTATTAATAATATCTTCAGTGTCGCATCTTCCCAGTTTAGCTGATCTTTTGCTGCCTACGCATGTTTACATAGCTCCCTAGGTAAATTAATATACTTGACTGAGAAAGCTTGAGAAAACTTAACATTTTTATTATCACCAAATTGTAAATGCAACGTTTACATTGGCATTATTAATTTTTCGCTTGAGTGTATGAAGGAGTGTCAGCTGTCAATGAGAGCAGACCTCCCCTCTTAGGCTAGGCAAACGTTTTTTTTAATTTTTCAAAAATAAATAAAAAATTAGATATAATGATGTTGTAACACTACAGGGTTCACATGGGCACCCTCGCTGCTGCCGCATTAGGTCAGCCCCCTAATGTCGGGGACTCGAACCCAGGCCTCCGGCATCACTCAACAGGGACCCAGCCTCTTGAGTCAAATTGGGAACTCCCATTGTTATCTACAGGGAAGGGCAGTGATGTCACCGTGCTGGTAAGCCGGCTCTCACAAGCAATGGAGGCACAAAAAAAAAAACAAGCAACGGAGGCCGTATGCGTTACAATATAAACATTTACTGCAATACGATACTGCAATGTTTCGGCTGTGAATCCTTCTTCAGGTGTGAGGGCAAGTAAGCCCAAATCATAGTTGAACCCATTCAGAGCCTAAATTACATTTTAGTGTTTCATTTTGAGTAGAAAACCCTCACACCTGAAGAAGACTTCACAGCCGAAACTTTGCGTTTTCTCTCTTCTCTTTTAAGCATGTGTACAATGCTTACAATGCTGTAATACAGTTTAAAATAATTCAAAGTCTTAACAGTATCAACTTGAATTCTTATCTCTATTAATATAACTATCAAGTGGTATCAAATAAATACAGCTTTATACAATTTAATACCACTCAATATTAATATATTTACAGAGATAAGCTCTCTATTAAAGTTCAGATCAAAGATCAAGCACCGATCAAACGGCAAGATCTCACACACTGGGACTGATCTGTTATCAGTCCACTGGCTGAGCTGAAAGCATTACTGTAGTTTATCAGTGAAAAGACTACGGGCATTTTTCCTCAAGAATGTATTATTAGCACAATTTATTACAGTGCTTAAGCTGTGTGGTGTGACGTAGTGGTGGCCTGGCACGGTGAGGTATGCTGGCAGCTGTGTGGTGTGACGCAGTGGTGGCCGGGCACTGTGAGGTAAGCTGGCAGCTGTGTGGTGTGACACAGTGGTGGCCTGGCACGGTGAGGTGTGCTGGCAGCTGTGTGGTGTGACACAGTGGTGGCCAGGCACTGTGAGGTAAGCTGGCAGCTGTGTTCCGCAGTGGTGGCCTGGCACGGTGAGGTGCGCTGGCAGCTGTGTGGTGTGACACAGTGGTGGCTGGGCACGGTGCAGTGTGCTGGCAGCTGTGTGGTGTGACGCAGTGATGGCCGGGCATGGTGCAGTGTGCTGGCAGCTGTGTGACGCAGTGGTGGCCTGGCACGGTGAGGTGTGCTGGCAGCTGTGTGGTGCGACGCAGTGGTGGCCGGGCACGGTGAGGTGTGCTGGCAGCTGTGTGGTGTGACGCAGTGGTGGCTGGGCATGGTGCAGTGAGCTGGCAGCTGTGTGACGCAGTGATGGCCTGGCACGGTGCAGTGTGTTGGCAGCTGTGTGGTGTGACGCAGTGGTGGCCGGGCACGGTGCAGTGTGCTGGGAGCTGTGCGGTGTGACTCAGTGGTGGCCGGGCACGGTGAGGTGAGCTGGCAGCTGTGTAACACAGTGGTGGCCGGGCACAGTGCGGTGCGCTGGCAGCTGTGTGGTATAATGCAGTGGTGGCCGGGCATGGTGCAGTGTGCTGGCAGCTGTGTGGTGTGACGCAGTGGTGGCCTGGTACGGTGAGGTGCGCTGGCAGCTGTGTGATGCAGTGGTGGCCGGGCACGGTGAGGTGCGCTGGCAGCTGTGTGGTATGATGCAGTGGTGGCCGGGCACGGTGAGGTGCGCT